GGGGGGGGGGGGGGGGGGAGAGGGTCTTGAGAAGCAGTTCTGGTTTTAATGCCGCCTTTTACGTTTGCATTGTAGTAGTTGATATGTAAACTTAGTTGATACGTAAACTTCAGTGGACCACACTTAAATTATGTGGTGAAAGTGTGCCTTCTAGGAGGAAGTTGGGTTTGTATTCCGTGCGGAGATCCCCCTTAGGGAGTCCCTACCGAACACACAAAGGAAAACAGCTCCTGTGAAACCTCTCGTAGCCTTTGCTGTCTCCAGCGCCTGGGTTTGAATCCTCGGCTGATTGAGCGATGGGGCCTCCAAACCCCAGCTTCTCGCTGGTGGGATGGTGGTGACGTCCCCTCCCCGGGGCTCTTTGAGTCCCCGGGACTAAGGTAAACGGATTGCAGTGTTTTCTGCTGCAGCGTGAGGTACTAGGCCCCGCGCATTCGCTGCCCTCGTGTTTTCATCCTGGCCTAGGAGATTAGGCAGGAGAGCTCTGGGTGACCTCTTGCCGGGAGCCTCAAACCCAGTGTTACTTGGAAACTGGCAGTAGAGTGGTGACAAGTGTCATAGAAACATCACAGAGGTGAGGGGCTGTGCAAGCCGGCCCTCCCCCTCTATGCCGTGGATCCTGGGAACTTCTCAGGCCGGGAGGGAGGGGCGCTGTGGTTATTTTGATGAAATCCGACCCGCCTTGAATACCAGCCAGTGGTCAGATCCCGAAAGGCAAGACCCTCGCCACGGCGACATTTTTATGCTCTGGGGACCTTGGTCCGACGGAGTCTTCTGGTCAGAGCGAGTTTTATTCACCAGCAACGTTTTTCACACGGGTTTCTTGGAGGAGCAAACAAAGTAACCAAGGATGCACCCGGGCTGACTCACCAGCCGGCACCCTCAGAATCTGTTATTTCCAGCCACCAGGCCCTTCTTTCTTGGGTGGCCCAGGAGGAGGTAGGGTTTCTCTACTTGACGCGGATCACTTAGGATATTGCATAGCCTGGTTGAAAAGTGTTTTGTCCTTTAACTGGAA